CACACACACACACACACACACACACACACACACACACACACAGAGGATATATATATATGTAGGCGGTGAAACTATCATTAAATCTCTCTCTCACACACACACACATACAGACTGGAGTAAAGTGTTGTAGGTTTTGACGCTATTACGTTCAATTTGAATTTGAGTTGTGGACCGTTTGCGCGATAATAATGTTTGCTTGGATTCGTTGTTTCGCGTGATGCGGTAGTAGGCCGGGGTTTATCTATTGCATTAGGCGATCAAACAGACTTTACGCGCGTACGCTCTTTACGTAATGAATCAATGAAGCGCGCGCGCGCAAGAGCGGGTCCGAGCGACGACTACCGAGGAGACTACATTCGATTTTCGTATTTCACACACGGTGTATCTATGCGCCTCTCTCTCTGTCTCTGTCTCTGTGTGTGCGTGCGTGGTTCTGCGGCTCCCATCTCGGTATAACAGAGTGTTATATGCATCCATCTGCGATTGCAACAAATATCTCCGTTCGACCGATATCGGCTCGAACGATTATTAATTAATGTATCAAGTTGAAAGTGGCGAATTTAGTCTCTAATTTTTCTAATGTTTGTTTTTCAGTTTTCAGATATCATTGGCTTCTTTCCCCTCTGCTCGTCGCAAGTGCAATTCTTACAATTTGATTTTACGAAGCTTCGTCGTCGTCGACTCGAGTAGATCGGTCGGTGGGGATCGTTTGAAGAACAGTAAGGAGGAAGCATGCACGGGACCGAGTCCTGGTCTCTTCCCGGGAAACAGGCTCTCTACGATCCAACGCTTGAAAGGGATGCTTGCGGTGTTGGATTCATCGTTGCCATTGATGGGAAAAAGTCGCACAAAGTGAGTGTGTGTTTGTTGTGTGTGTGTATATTGTCCATCTCAACTAATTCGACTCTGTTTGCGAGGGAAATCCTCGAGGAATGCTCGCTGGCACGCTGGCTCTCTACGATTTTATTTACTAGCCTTAGCTGCGACGACAGCACCGACAGCACATTCACCTTATTCCTTTTCGTTTTCAATCATTGCAGATTGTTCGCGATGCAGAGACGCTGTCGGCGCGTATGAACCACCGTGGTGCTTGTGCATGCGATAACGACACCGGCGACGGGGCCGGTGTTCTTTGTGCCATCCCGCACGAGTATTACGCCGATGAATTGCGGTAAGAGATAAGTCATTCGCCGAGATATTTCGTCCGTCCTTCCATCTTGCTTGCCGCCTTCCATCATCTCGTGACGTATCTTCACAGTCAGATTCAGACGCGTCCGATAACAACGCGCTGCGACTTTCATTGAATTTCATAATTCCTGCAGATATCGCTGGCGTAATTCTCTACTCTAATATCGTTATATCGCTCTCTCCCTCGTCCCCTCGTTCCTCCGTTCCCTGTCAAGATATACTGCGTGTTTATCTCCTCGTCTGCTGTATTATTATTATTA